CTTTGATAACTAATATATGAAAAAAATAATTATAATAAAAAGGTTGCAACGTTGTTTGACTGTCAACGTTCATATGTGTTGTTTAAGTGACAATATATATTTATTGTCTCTCTACAGCATCGCCATCAAATAAAGGTTTACAATTAAGGTTCTTAAAAAACTAAAAAAACAAAGGAGAGGATGGCGATTCAGGTTAACTGACTGAAGGAACTTCCCTCAAGAGTTGTTCTATGAAAACATTACGTTTTACTGTTCATGTTAATATGTTGTACTGTGATTTTAAGTGGCAAGTAGAAGCCTATGGAAACACAGGTTTGGTAGTAATCCTATATTTTATGCCTCGCACGCTTGTGACCATTAATCTCCACAAAAGTGTGCGTGTATGCCTTCCCATTTATGGAGGCTTCTTAAAGTTATTACTGTAGTTCTTTGTCGCCGATAAACGAAGATATGCTATAAAGAGAGGGAGACTGTTACTCACCACTTTTGCGCTTGGAGTCCATGTCGTTTAATGTTTTAAAATCGGGTCGGGGTGCCTATTTCCGGTGATAATCCCTGGGTTGATTCATTGAAAAGTTATGGTTGTAACATGCGAGGCGTGTTCTCCGTAGACACAGCGGAGCTCCAGCCTCTGCCCGGCTCAATGAGTCACTCTGCCCGCTACAGTTTGTAGCTTCAGTCGGAGCCGCTGGGTCATCATCCAGAGCTCCTCCGGGTCCTAGTGCCAGTCTAATGAAGGTCTGTGGGTTTACAGTGCATTTTAAAGCCATGACTCCAAGGAGACTAATAATACAGTCACATATGACTAGAGGAGGTTCAATTGAACACATTCTGTTCATTAGTGTTTCCAGAATACATTGGAGTCACCTTAATAGGCTTTTTGTATGGGCCTATGTTCTCTACACTACATTAAAGGTCACCTATTATGCAAAATCCACTTTTTCATGTATTTTATACTTAAACATGTGTCCCCCTCTGTGTAAAGAGATTATGAAAGCTTCAGGAAAAAAGATTTGCTCACTTCTTGTCTTCTTGATCCATTTATATAAAAACCTGTCTGAAAATTAGCTGATCAGATTTTGGCCACTTTATGATGTCATAACGATGTTTTGGCTTGTGTAACCATTAGCCAATCAGCAACCAAGGTAACCACCTTCCCTGCTGAAAAAAACAGCATAGACCAGCTTAAAGGTGGGGTAGGTAATTTTGGAGAAACCAGCCCGAGTGCGCAAGATTTTGAAAATACACAGCCTTCCTTAAAGAGCCCCTCCTCCAACACACACGAACGCACACATGACCAATGAGGGCACGAGATAAGTTTGTGCACAGATGGAAGGTTGACAGGCAGGTAGGCCATCCAGTTATTTTAGCCGGGCCGTGCTTTTTACAGTAGGCCTACTACGGCTTCCAAAGATGACATTTTTTCATGGATTTTTTGTTAAAGCACTTAAGATATTCATTGCTATCGGGATGTTAAGAGCATTCCATGGAATATAACAAAAACTGTATCTCGAGCTGTTTTCTCAAACTTACCTACCCCACCTTTAAGATGGTTGCTGGTTTTAGCTGGTTTTAGCTGGTGTTAGGCTGGTTTAGTTGGTTTACCAGCTAAACCAGCATAGCCCAGCATGGATATCATGCTGGGCTTATTAAAACTATGATTTGCAATCTTTTTTATTCCAATTACAATAATCTTTTTGTTATAATTGTAAAACACATCTTAACATCCATCAGCAATCAATAAAACAAATCATCCAACACAAAATAGAAGAAATCTGGACCTATTCTATTTCTTTTTATACAGCAGCATCTATTGGGACTGTTCATTACTGTAATGTCATCAAGAGCCATTGAGTCTATCTTTTGTAGTCGGCCTCTTGGAATGTTTATGATTTCTTTGTCTCTTAACATTCCTATAATAATTTGTTTTTCTATTGTTCATATTGTTTTGTTCCTTTATTTTTGTTGCGAGAATCACTTTGCAATTGTGTAAGTGCTATATAAACAGTTAAACTAATATTATTGTTGTTACCATCATTACTATTATTAAAAAAAAATTCTTTGTTTTCGTTATTCATCATCACTGCAGAAAGGGTCATGCCAGCCCACATCAAACACCTGATCAAGAACTTGTGAATCTTCAGTCAGAAAAGATGAAAACACCTGTTCAAAGTTCCAGTTTACTGTACATGGAACCATGCCTGTCCTCTGTTCCACACGTCTTCAGTCAGTCCAGAACCCTTATGGACTCGATGACTCAGGACACTAGTTCTACCGAGGCTTATTAGAGGTAAGAGTGGTAGGAGAGGAGTGGAATTATCTTTGTATTTAGGCTGCAAGTCGACAAAGGTGATCAAGTGCTGATGCCAATAATGATCCGATTAATTTGATATTGATTATCTGCCAATACCGAATCCTGATCCGATTCTTCTATTTCCCAGATAATACAGCTGCACCGTGTACAGCCAAATGCACCTGTTTTAGATAATATATTTATTTTGATGTGTAGGTTGATTTGCAGGTTGGCTGTTATTTGTATAATTATTGTATTGTTACTGTTTATTTTATTATATTAACTAGCTATTTATTAAATTAAAATACTGTTACAATGTCTTTATTTTTGGTAGATACCAGAATACATGACACAATGAATCTTTGTAATATGTTCTCTGGTTTAAATAATCATACCAGTATTAACAAAACAATGTGTGCTGGTCACCTGGAATCCTGGTAGGCTTCCAGCATGGTATATTTAATACTATTATTAAACATAAACTGGTGATAGATGGATGCTGGTGACCAGCCCAGCATACCAGCATACTATGCTGGTCTATGCTGTTTTTTTTAGCTGGTCAGGATGGCTGGTTTTGCTGGTGTCTGGTTTAGTTGGTTTAGCTGGTTTAGCTGGTTTAGCTGGTGCACCAGCTAAAGTGTCCCAAACTCCTCTAAACCAGCCAACCTATCTACTGGCTGGTCAGGCTGGTCAACTTAGCCTGACCAGCTAAACAGGTCTAAGCTGTTTTTTTAAGCAGGGTTATCACCTGAATCTCCTCCTAGAGCACCATTGTGTTATTTTTAACCAAATGTCTCTCAGAGGGGTGTAGGGAGTGGCTCCTTATTTTCATCTAAAGTAAAATAGAAAGAATCAGCCCTTTTGAAACAGGGCTGAAACAGAGGGGATTATGGGTAATGCTACAATGGGTGATCCGTTTGGTATTTGGAGCCAAACACTTCAGAAACATGTTTTGTATATATCTGAGACCTATAATATATTGATGAAAAACAGTATAATAGGGGACCTTTAACTATTTGACAATTACAGTTGCTTACAGACATGTGAGGGCTCAATATGTTTCATTTTTACATATTTACCTTATATAAACTTACACCATGACCTTCAACAAGAGTAAAACAGCACTTTCACATTGATGCTTGAGTAATAATAAATGTAATGTCATGATATAAAAAATAAATGCATTATATCAGAGTATTAGTTGCACCTAATTCTTTCAAGAAACAGCTGGCCCAATGAAATCAAAAGAAACAAAACTACAAGTCTGAAATAAACACACCATCCAAATCATCATCAAGTAGATCCAGGGGTCTTGAAAAATGAAAATGAGGCAGTTGTGATGCTAAAAATCATTTATTCAGTTGCAGTGACAGACCCAGGTTTTGCAAATTATAATTGTCAGTGCCAAACAGTGTGCTTTAACGTAGGGTTGAAAACCTGTTTACACAAACGCACATACAAACACACATAACAGCATTATCTCATATTTTACATTCAACCATAATCTATCCAACACATTCTGTTTTTATTAAATCTATTTCAGCTCAGTTTCTCTCCTCCCACCTATTTATCCCCAACATAAATCCTTTCCTTTTGGGATACCTGTCAACTGTTAAATACACTTTCTTTGCCACTGCTATTTTTCTCTTTGAATTTCTTCTCTTTATATTCCTGATGCCTCTACTCTACCCGCCGTTTCTCCGTTCTTCATCTCTCCTTTTTCCTTCCTCCACTCGAGCATTGTTTTCCTCTCTTAAACAGGGGATCTGTTTAATCCTCCATGAAAACCTCCATTAGTCATTTGCTTTAATTGTACACACACACACACACACACACACACACACACACACACACACACACACACACACACACACACACACACACACACACTTCAGTCTGGCTTAAATGTAATCCAGCAGCTGAAATTCTGAGCCGCCCCACAAGTGCTGCACGTACAGTATGAATTGGAAAAAGCTGACATAGTTAAATAAAATAAGCTAAACATAGATGTCTAATTTTTAAGTGTATAATACTAAACCTGATTTCAATGACACAGTTCATTCACATTAAACCTTAGCACCACTTCAGTGTACTGTACAGTCTGTCACTGATATGGCTTCAAGAATCAGTGTTTAGGTTAAAGAATCAGTGTTTAGGTTAAACACTGATATGGCTTCAAGAAATTCTGACATCAAATTAACAAACATAGACCAGTATTAAATCTCTCTTAATCTAACTCTAATGTGAACAAAACTATTATCGTTGGTTTATGAGTGTTTAACAATAGTGTCTGAGTGGAGAAAACTGGATCCTTTTTCTCTCCAACAGTATGCCAGTTTGTCTTCCAAGCAGCATATCGGCTTCCTAAACATTCTCCCTAATTTTCATCATGGAGGTACATTTGGTGCAGTGTGGCAGACCCTCAGTATAGTAGGAAGTAGTCAGCTTACATTCCAACTGGTCCCCATGATACTGCCACTGTTAACACACTGACATCTGCTGGTAGAAAAATGGAAAGGCAGACATTTCCTCCATTAAGTTTCTGTCTTATGCATATCCAGTGCAGCCCATATGCTGACTCTCAAAGGTTTGATCCTTTCCTTCGAGTTTTCCTTCCCCTCCTTTCAGTTTTTCCTTCCCTTTTTGCCAGTTGGCTGCCTTGTGTATTGCTTAAGAAGAACAAACAAGATCAGGAGGACAACGGTTCTAATTTTGCCTCCTCAAGGGAGGACAGACTTTTATTTCATCCCGTTTCTGTTCCACTGTCTGGGGTCAGCAGGCAGAGACTATTTCCCAGAGCACACAGAGTTGGCGATAGTCCTGTATTAGGGTTAAACGGTTCTAATGGATTCATTTTCTCAGAAGAGTCGGACCTGTTTCTTCAGTTCGTTTTTCTTCCACTGAACAAGAAGATCAAAGGCAGACATGGCCATCCCAAAGACTCTGAAGAACTCCTCCGGGGAGAGGTGACGCTGGGAGGAGACGTTTAGAGAGGGAGAGGAAATGATCAGTGTTTGAAAGGTTATTATTATTATTATTTAAGTTACAGACTACTGGCTAACCTGTAAAGTAACTATCTCTATCACTTCATATAACTGTCAAACTTTAATGAGAGACGTTCTTCAAAATAACTTTAATATTGGAACAGACCAACAGAATGAATGTTGTTTTCCAAATATAAGGTTTTAACTGAAAACAATATAATGTATATAAGTAACTGTCATTTAATTACACATTTATTCTCAACAACTGTAAACTAAATGTATTTAGGTTACATTTGACTATTACTCCTGTCTGTTTCAGAAGTTTGACAATAAACATTGAAGACATGAGTATAAAGATAGCAATGTCAGTCTGTCTGTGTTGTTGTCCATCTATATAAGACATGTATCAAAGTATATTTTGTTAAAGCGTCGTGTAGAGGTTTCAGAATCAGAATGCCTTTATTAGTCCCACAGAGGGGAAATGTGTTTACCTCCAATCTGGCTCGGTCCACGTCACTCGGGAGACGCTGCAGCCCTCTGACTGACACTATTAGGGCTTCGTATGGGTAGATCTAACACACAGACAAACAAAAGGAAATTATTTCTAAAAAGTGCATGTCAATACTTCTGAGGGGTTGTTTCAATTACATTTACATCTGCCATTCCTACAAGCTTCCTGCACCAACACTCAGCACGGTTCCTTTGACAGAAACTGTAAATGTAACTGCATTCAGATGCTCCTTCCAAGGACTTTCACTTATAAGGTCATTCGTAATTGTTTACAGATGAAGTTTATTGACAACGTCATTCACATGAGACTCTCTTGATGTTTGTCACCATCTAGTGGCAAACAGCAGCATTAACAACAATGACGGAGGCTAAAATGTATTAGAAAAATGTATGAAGTCTCTTTGTTTCGTTTTGGGTAATTATTCATGCAGACATAAGTATATAACCACTGAGTAACAGATTAAGAAATGTTTCTGCTGAAATGTGCTTGTTTTTCTTCTTCCATATAGCTTTACATAGTTTTAAGTTTGTGGACTCTTTTAGAGTTGTTGTACTCATTACACTTAATTGCACGCATTGGTCAGTGCAACTAAGCATTTGTTGCAGTCTTTTTTCACTATCATTAAAGGCAGTAATAAAAAAGATAATAGAATATTCTTCCTTGAAGATCTACACTTTTTGATATGATGGGGAAGGAATAATACTGAATAATATAAATACTCTTAATATGTTAACTTTGCTGTTAATAAAATGAGGCAGTCAGCTTTAGTTTGTGTTTCTGAGTGACAATCAGACGACTGTTTACTGTAAACTTTAAAAAGGCAACACATCATCCTTATCTGTTACTTTTGATCCGGAACGTTATTTGTAGCTCAGTAATGGTTGGCTTTCTTACCTTGTATTCTACAAGAAAAGGAGGAGAGAAATTACAATATCAGTCACATAAACTGCATTTGTTGATTCTTATTTTTTTTAAATCATTCTATACAGTCTTAATAATATCATGCACTGGGAGAAAACTAGAAGGACTGAGGATAAGGAGATTTCAAGTGTGCAATAGGCTTACCTCTGATCTGCCAATTAACTGCATTACTGCTGTCATATTGGTAATAATCTGCACCCGCACTGCCAGGCTGCTAGGACACAACAAGAGCAGTTTAGCAAACATGCAGCAAGAAGATGATAAAGGGAAAGGATCTAGCAAAGCAGAAAGAAATCATAAAATATGACATCTATAGAAAGTTCCATCAGTGGGAATTCTGTATAATAATGTATCAATTAGAAATATAATACCAATATGAAGTAGTCAGTTACTGATTTAGTTTGCAGCAGGAAGTAAACTCATCGGAAAACACACACTGTAGGAGCCATTTTATGGGTGTTGTTGGTGTGTCAGTTTATTTAAGTTATATGTATAGTGCAATATTATTTTTGAACACTTGGTGGCGGGGTTTAGCTGCACCGGGTGTATATAAGAGGTCATAGTGACAGGAGGACGAGGACACAGAAGGAAGAGAGCATACCGATTCCACCAGCCCGGCAGATGCTCACCACAACAACTAAACTGTACAATTAAACCCTGGTATGTACACGCTGAATAAACCTCATTATAAACTGCACCAAAGGACCGGAAAGTCATCTGTTTGTGTCTGCGTCTGGATCACTCTTCAGCCCTTCTGTGAAGTAATGGCAAAAATATATTGGACATAGAAACAAGAAACTGCCATTACAT